TCTCGAACTCCTGACCTCAAGCAATCCACCCTCCTCCCAAAGCACTGGGATTACAGGGATGAGCCACTGCACCCAGTAATCTGGGAACTATATGACTCAACTAGAGTAACTTTGGCTTATTTTTCTTTTATTACCATATCTGTATCAACTGTGTAGGCTGCCTATATATGCAACAAGGTAATTTCCCTTATTACCACCAAACTTTACATCATAGTGTCTTGTTTTAAATCAAGAGATAATTTCTGGTAGGTATATCAGAGGATTTCATGTAGATTATAATTCTAAGTTGATATACAGCATGGAATTACAAAAGCTACCTTAGGAACTGGGAAAGAAGAGCTAGAAGCAACACCAATAAGATAGTATCTTAATGAATGCAGTGCTATATATGCATAAAGAGTGCTTTCATACTTGCTATCCTTGGCTTTGCCTAAAAGGCAACCTAAGCACTCACTGACAAGCTGTAAGATCGTCCAAAATCATCCACACAGGTGGTCGTCAGTCAATGACAATATATACAGTAAGACTTCAAGTCCTATTTTTTTTTTGAGGTTTGCAAATCTTTTATACTTCCAGTAGTTGAAACCATTTTTTTTTCTTTTTTAAGAAATGGAGTCTTACTATGTTGCCCAGGCTGGACTCCAGTTCCTGGGCTCAAACGATCCTCCCAAGCAGCTGGGGACTATAGGTGCAGGCCACCACACAGAACATGTTCAGACAATATTTCTGAGAACTAACATCACCTTTAGCAACAAAACCAGAGTCCTTATTAAGCAGCCAGAACGCTTCGGTAATTGAATACTGACCATTTCTTTTTGCATGTGTTTTGTCCTCCTCTTCTAGAAGCTACAGATGTCCATTCTGTCTATCTACCATCTTGATAAAGTTGCATCTACAACAGTAATATCATTTGACATTCCTTTAACTACTGTATCTATGTTTGAAATGCCACACTGACAATGTCATGATGAGGATTAGAAGTGGCAGCAGCAGACATCCCACACAACCCAGGTATAGAATCATTTCTGACCAGTCATCTGTTTTGGCAAATAAATGGCCTTTTCACTTACAACTGCCAACTGAACAGATTTCCTCGTTTTGAGGTTTTGAAGGTAGTCTTTCTAAATCCAGAAAGCCTAGTCGCCTTTCATTTAAGTATGCAAGGCACTGTTTTTAGTGCCAAAAGTTTAAAGGGAGTTGACTGAAAAAGGTTGAGATGGGCTGGTTTTGAAAAGCACATGTCTTTATTACTTCCTACTACAACAGTCCTCTCTGGAACCTGCCTGGACACACTAGCATTTATGACTCCTTGAAATCCTTGGTCTAGGTCAGCATTTGATGGTGCTACTTTTAACTCTTCTGGAACCCTCATTAACAAATACCTTCAGCGTGTTCCATTTCACACTGAATTTAACTAATTTCCACCACCTCAGCAGCAGTGAAAGAAGGAAATGCTGCCCCACTCACCAAATGTATACCAGTTGCTTCTTGCTATCTGGCACTATCTGCTTCTATGCTTCATATCAGATCCTTTGACTTGTTTCAATGTGCATGTGTTAAATTTAGAGCCACTTTTGTCCTCCTGGGCCCACTGGAGGGTCCCCAGCAAGGGCCACTATCCACCGGCTGCCAGGGCAGTTGGCTGGGCATTGAGAGGCTGTTGGAGCCCTATCTTCTTATTTACTTCTGGACTTTCCAATTTGATCTATACTCCTACCCATGAAAAGCAACCACAAATCCATCTGTACTACCTACCTTCAACCTCTCTAAAAGCAAACAAAACACCACACACACACTATACTGTCTTAATGTCTTTGCAAGCGCATACCTCTCTAGCTTGAAAGTCCTCTCCCAGTCTTCTTATCATCAAAGGCCAAACTCAAAATCTACTTTAGTCAGACTTTCCTCCATTCTAAAGCATGGGATCCCCCACTCCCCAGTTTGTCTCTATTTGGTTAGTATAACTCACTTAACTCCTATTTATAACAAAGGATTGTTTTCTGTTTGGGTATCTTATGTACACCAACTTCAAGCTCCCTACTAACCTGGTACAGTACCTTACATTTAGATCAAAGGTGCTTAAACTGACACTAGATTGTTAATCTGCTGGCAGGAAGGCTATCATCAAAAGACAGATAATAACAAGTCTTGGTGAGGATATGGAGAAATTGGAACCCTCATACATTACTGGTGGGAATGTAAGAAGGAATAGCTATTTTGAAAAAGTACGGCAGTTCCTCAATAAGTTAAACATACATTTACCATGACTCAGCAACTTAACCCATGCATATACCCAAGAGAACTGAAAAAATATATTCCATAAGCTTCTACACAAATGTCCATAGCAGCATTATTCAAAATAGCCAATCACTGTAAATACCCCCCCAAAATAAATATCAACTGACAGATAAGCAAAATGTATCATAACTATACAATGAAATCTTATTCAGCCACAAAAAAAAATTAAGTACTGATACATATTAAAACATGCTACTCAGGAGGCTGAGGCAGGATGATCAAGGCTGCAATGTACTATAATCACCCGTGAACAGCCACTGCAATACCGCTTGGACAGCAGAGCAAGATCTCCATCAAATCAAAAAAAAACAAACAAACATGGAAAGCATTATGCTAAGTGCAAGCAGCCAGACAGAAAGAACATATGTTCTACAAATCCCCTTATAAGAAATGCCCAGATCAAGCAAATCCGAACTGACAGGAAGTATATCACTGGTTGCTAGAGGCTAAGAGAGGAGAGAAACAGAACTTCCTTTTTGGGTTGATAAAAATGTTTTGGAATTAAACAACAGTGATTGTTCTATAATCTTGTAAATATATTAGCAACCACTGAATTATAAACTTAAAAATGGTGACTTTAATGGTATGAAAATATATTACTCAAAATTTTAAAAGAAATGAAGGCCTGATGTGGTGGCTCATGCTTATAATACCAGCACTTTAGGAGGCCAGGGAGGGCAGATCACTTGCCAGGGGTTCGAGACCAGCCTGGCCAACATGTTGAAGCCTGACTCTATTAAAATACAAAAATTAGCCTGGCGTAGTGGCACACATCTGTAATTCTAGCTACTCAGGAGGCTGAGGCAGGAGGATCACTTGAGCCTGGGAGGCAGGGTTGCAGTGAGCCAAGATCACACCACTAAACTCCAGCCTAGGTGACAGAGTGAGACTGTCTCAAAAAAAAGAAAAACATTAGGAGGAATGGAAGGAAAAGGAAGAGAAGGGGATGGGGGGAAAGGGAACAAACAAAGGAGGAAGAGGAAAAGAAAAAGGAGAAAAAGGGCCGAGGACGATGGCTCATGCCTGTAATCCCAGCACTTTGGGAGGCTAATGTGGGTAGATTACCTGAGGTCAAAAGTTCAAGACCAGCCTGACCAACATAGTGAAACCCCCGTCTCCACTAATAATACAAAATTAGCTGGGCATAGTGGTGCATGCTTGCAATCCCAGCTACTTGGAAGGCTGAAGCAGGAGAATGGCTTGAACCCAGGAGGCAGAGGTTTCAGTGAGCTGAGATCACGCCATTGCAGTCTACTCTGGACAACAAGAGCAAAATTGTCTCAAAGAAAAAAAAAAGAAAAGAAAAAAGGAAGAGAAAAAAGGGCACCTAGACCAGGCTGGGCACGGTGGCTCACAGCTGTAAGCACAGCACTTTGGGATTACTCCCAAAGCACAGTACTAAAGCAACACTTTCAGATTAGCATTACTTACATTAAGGTTGTTAAACTTCTTGATTTAAGCTAACCAATTCCATTTTTACACCCGCACTAAAACCTGGACTGACTAAAACTTAATGAACTAGGACAATAAAGAACACTGAAAATGCATAGAAATTGGACAAATTTAGAATCTTTTAGAAAATTGGAACTTAAAGAGAAACGTCATATACAGTGACAGAAAGTTTCAATTAAAACAATTTTTCTGTCCCAAGAACTGGAAAGAACAAACAAGCAGGAAGTTTCTAATGTATGAGAATGCAGGCAGGGGAAACAGCTGGATTATCACTAAGTCCCTAAATCATGGAAGGAGAATTCTCCTCAGTATTGGCTCATCCTCCTTTGCATACATTTCACATTTTATATCACACTAAAAGCAGCCCATACCCAATATAAATATGTCATATACAGCTAACTAAGAGCCCATCAATAAACCTCATTATGCCAACTCAAGCAGCAATATTTACACTCCTGGTGGGATCCAGCTGTTGATATTTAAGTTTAAATTTAGGTAGGAAATACAAAACTGTTTCTTCATGAAAAGGGATGAAATGCCAAAGACAACCTGTCTCAGAAGGTCCCGCGCCTATTTGTTAACTAAAGAAGTCTCAAATTTCAAATCCTTGTTGAAATCAAACCTTTATAAATGTCACTGCAAATGTCGCTGATGCAATAAATGACATCAATTAGACTTGTGTTTGCAAGTCTATCATTCATAATCATAAACCTTGACCTGAACGACAAAGCACTATCGTATTCCTCGTTGTAGTCATGCATTCCGCAAATGTGGATACAAGAATGAATAAAACCCCCTAACTGCGCCCCTCACAAGATTTATAGCTCAGTATTGAACTGGGTTAGGCACCCCGCTAATTACTCAGATTTTACTCATTATATCTATTATGAGAGTAGTTAAAAGACTAGTACACTGCGATTAGCTAATTATGTGTACAGTTTTGGAGGTTTTCTCATTCCCTTAACTTGGAGCTTGGCAAACAAATCTGTATTGATCACTGCTGTAGCCCCAGCATTCATCGGGGCACCTCAGCAATTACTGGTAGGTTAGGTAACTGAATGAATGGTATCTAAAACACAGCAGATACTAATAGATGTCCACTGAATTAATTAACAAGAAAAGACTTATTTTCTAATTTCTTTACTAGACATATAAAACTCTTGCCAAAGAGATGGCAATACTTATTCTATAATGTATCTGTTCTCTATTTCACTAATTCACCTCAAAAAAATTTTTCTTTTAAGTCTCACCATTACTAGGTGTCTCTAGGGATTCCTTTACAGGGCTTCTCCGGTCTTCATCTTCCTCAGGATTTTCCCTGGACTTTGACAGCCGGTTTCTTAGAGACATCTTCTCTTCACCCACCATTGTATTGTCTAGGAAAGAAGATGCAGAAAGCTTTTGTATTAGTCCACTTTCACACTGCTATAAAGACACTACCTGCGACTGGGTAATGTATTTTTTTTTTCCTGACATGAAGGAAATGCAGAGACTAGGTGATGTATAAAGGAAAGAGACTTAATTGTCTCACAGTTCCTCATGGCTAGAAAAGCCACAGGAAACTTATAATCACGGCAGAAGGGGAAGTAAGGCATGTCTTACATGACAGCAGGAGAGACAGAGCAAGGAAGTGCCAGATTTAAAACCATCAGCTCTCATGAGAACTCCCTATCATGAGAACAGCCTAGGGGAAACTGCCCCCATGATCTAATCACCTCCCACCAGGTCCCTCCCTTGACATGTGGGGACACAGAAGCAATTAGAGATGAGATTTGGGGGAAGGGGGACACAGAGGCACCATAACAGCTTTGAACTAAGCATCTGGCTTATGTCAATTTCACAATGCCACTGTATTTAGGAGAGGTGAAATTTGATGACATAATCTCTTCCTTTTGCATTAATCATTTTAAAGCATTTGCTGGGTACAAGATACTCAAGATACAAGTTTGAAGAAATCAGCTCCTATAAAATAATTTGACAGGTTTCAAAGTCCCCTTTTAAACATAGACCCCACACCTTTTTTTTTTTTAAGATGGAATCTCGCACTATCGCCCAGGCTGTAGTGCAGTGGCGCAATCTCAGCTCACTGCAATCTCCACCTCCTGGGTTCTAGCAATCCTCCTGCCTCAGCCTCTCGAGTAGCTGGGACTACAGGCATGCACCACCATGCCCAGCTAATTTTTTTGTATTTTTTAGTAGAGATGAGGTTTCACCAAGTTTGCCAGGATGGTCTCGATTGCCTAGCCTTGTGATCCACCCGCCCTGGCCTCCCAAAGCGCTGGGATTACAGGCATGAGCCACTGCACCCGGCCAACCCCACTCTTAAAGAAAAATTTAGTTGAACGAAACATTAAATATGTGAAAAAATTAAGGATTAAATAGTAAAAGGTAACTACAAAGACACCACAAGGTAGAGCACGATTTAATAACAAAGTCAATGGTAAAAGCAATACGTTAAGTTCAGAAACAGCAGAAATTAGCAGAAGATGTAAAGGTTTCACAGAAAAGAAGGTATTTTAGACAGAGTCTTGAAGGATGAGAACTGCACATTCCACGTGCAAGAAAGGATTAAAACAAGGACCTTATAACACCCATTCAGGGGACCAAGACTGAATTGAACTACAACAAAAGCAAGTTTTTGTTAAGTATCTACTAAGTACGAGGACCCTACCAGGTGTTTAAATTTGCTCATTTAATCTTCGGAACACTTGTGAAAAAAAAATATATTACCCTCAGTTTTCATATGAGAAAACAGTGATTTAAAGTAGTTACTATCAGTATCCCCCACCCATGCACCAGAATACACCTGCAGCTGAACAAGTTGAGTGTATTACGAACGCACACCACAGCCCCAGGTACTAGGGTCTGCTTTTCTTCTCATTACAGTGACTTGCTCAAGACCACACAGCTAACCACAGAGCCAGATTTGGAACAGCATTAGTTGGATCTGAACTACAAAGATCACTAACTTCTGAGAGAAAAAGGTTGGCAACAGAGAAATGTGATGAGGAAAAAAACCAGAAAGGAGGACAGAGGTCAAACTATAAAGGCCTAAGAAATGAGACGTTTTTCAAGAAGGCAGTGGCGAGACACTTGAATCACTGAAAAACATGATCAAAGTCACAAAGAGCAATATCAAGATAGTACAAGATTTACTCTAAAGCCGTGTGTTTCACCAGCTGGGCATGGTGGTACACAGCTGTAGTCCCAACTACTTGGGAGGCTGAGGTGGGAGGATCACTTGAACCTAGGAGTTTGAGTCTAATGTGGGCAATGTAGCAAGACCACATTTCAAAAAATATATTTTTTTTATTTATTTAGTTAGTTATTTTTTGAGAAGGAGTCTCACTCTGTTGCCCAGGCTGGAGTGCAATGGCATGATCTTGGCTCACTGCAACCTCTTCCTCCAGGGTTCGAGTGATTCTCCTGCCTCAGCCTCCCGAGTAGCTGAGATTACAGGTGCCTGCCACCATGCCTGGCTAATTTTTGTATTTTAGTAGAGATGGGGCTTCACCATATTGGTCAGGCTGGTCTTGAACTCCTGACCTCAAATAATCCGCCCACCTCTGCCTCCCAAAGTGCTGGGATTACAGGCATGAGCCACTGTCCCTGGCCAAAAAAAAAATGTTAAATAAAAAGTAAAGCAGTTTTCACTATATGATAAATTTTTCAAGAGTCTAAAGCAGAAGAAAAAAACTATGAAATACTACATTATTTTAAAGCTACATATATTTAAATTCTGAGGCTACAGTCTCTCTAATTTTTTTTTTTTGAGACAGAGTTTCACTCTTGTTGCCCAGGCTGGAGTGCAATGGTGCAATCTCAGCCCACCACAATCTCCGCCTTCCAGGTTCAAGCAATTCTCCTGCCTCAGCCTCCCGAGTAGCTGGGATTACAAGCATGTGCCACCATGACCAGCTAATTTTTATTTTTAGTAGAGACGAGGTTTCTCTAAGTTGGTCAGGCTGGTCTCAGAACTCCTGACCTCAGGTGATCTGCCCACCTCAATCTCCCATCTAAATTTTTATATCAAAATATCTTTTTCTGTATCAAAGAATGAAATACAGTACATGGTAAGTTTGGTTGTTTTTCAACTATCCTAGCTTGGCAAAGTAAAAATCTGAATAATCAGCCAGGCACATTTGCTCACGCCTGTAATCCCAGCAGTTTGGGAGGTTGAGGTGAGCAGATCAGGAGGTCAGGAGTTTGAGACCTGCCTGGCCAACATAGTGAAACCCCATCTCTACTAAAGATACAAAACATTTGCCGGATGTGGTAGTGGGTGCCTGTAATCTCAACTACTTGGGAGGCCTAGGCAGGAGAATCACTTGAACCTAACAGTCAGAGGCTGCAGTGAGCTGAGAGCACACCATTGCACTCCAGCCTGGGCAACAAAGTGAGACTCCATCTCACACAAAAAAAGAAAATCTGAGGCTGGGCACGGTGGCTCACGCCTATAATCCCAGCACTTTGGGAGGCCGAGGCAGATGGATCACGAGGTCGAGATTGAGACCATCCTGGTCAACAAGGTGAAACCCCGTCTCTACTAAAAATACAAAAATTAACTGGGCATGGTGGCGCGCGCCTGTAGTCCCAGCTACTCGGGTGGCTGAGGCGAGAGAGTTGCTTGAACCCAGGAGGCGGAGGTTGTGGTGAGCCGAGATCGTGCCATTGCACTCCAGCCTGGGTAACAAGAGCGAAACTCCGTCTCAAAAAAAAAAAAAACTGACAAATCTAGATCAAGCAAAAATGTTATAATATCATAAAATCTAGTTAAGAAGAACTTAAGGGAAAAGTACGTCAGGGCTAATTAAGCACAAGACAATGCCTAACTTCTGATGGTCCAGTTCTGTGTAAAAGTGACATAGGAAGCCATAAGAGCATCTACCTCTTCATCAGAAATGATGACGGAAGTGAGAACTGAAAACTAAACTTTGAGGGATGGCCTCAAAGTAGAAGAAATCAGGGAAGATGCAAAAGGAACCCAGATGTTTTAGTAAGAAAGGAATTTTACAAGGAATAATGGGAACTATTTTTTTTTTTTCCTGGCCAGATGAGCAGAGACTTTTTTTTTCTGGCCAGATGGTGGTAAATTTAAAGTAGGTAACTCTTTTAAAGAGCATACAGCAAAAGTTTAAAGCATAAAATACAGCAAAATGATTAAAACATAAATGCCAGATTAAAGTTTATTACCCAAGCCCTATGAGACAGTATCACACAGTGTAATATTTCTAAAAGTAGAATAACAACTGATTTTTTAGTGCTCATGTGTTTTACATGTATTAAATATTTTAATCTCAATAGAATCAAGATAGATACTACTGTTATTCCCCAAATATTCTTTGGCCACCATGGCTTCCCATATTTTCTTCCCTGTCTACAGAAAGGTATTCTCCTCTGCCCTTTCTTTATCGAGCTAACTCCTACTCAAGCCTTCAAAGAATCACAGCTACAGCAGTAATAGGATTAATACTAACAGTTCTGATCTAATGAGCACCTATTATGTACTTCCAGGCACTGTGCTGCTAAACTTTTTACATTACATTTAATCTTTACAGCCTTAGATAGGTATTATCCTCATTTTACAGACGAATTTAGGGAAGTGATTTAACTTGTCCCAAATCATGTAATTCTCCAACAACAGAACTAGAATTAAAACAAGGACTATCAGATTCTACAACCTGCCCTCCAATTGCTAGACTGCCTCCAACTCACACCCTCTGAGGTTTCCTATACCACCTCTCATCTCCCCCTCTCTGCAGTCCCACTACACCCTGTGCATCCTGTTACATACTATCTTGTCCTGTAATCAGAGAGCAATACTCTCTGTCTCTTACATTAGGCTTTAGTTCTCAAAGTAGGGATTACATAGTATTTTCTGTAAGACTCTCCGAAATCCAGTGTGGAGTACCTGAGTACAACAGGCATGCATTAAGAGAGAAAGCAAATGTATTAGTTAATATAGTAACCAATTATTCTAAGCACAAGACACTCCTTAACTCACGATGGTTCAACTTACAATTTTTCAACTTTATGATGATGCAAAAGCAACATGCATTCCATGGAAATCATATTTTGAGTACTCATATAACTATTCTGTTTTTCACTTTCAGTGTAGTATTCAATAAATTACATGAGATAGTGAGTACTTATTGTAAAACAGTCTATTTGATGATTTTGCCCAACTGTAGATTAATATTAAGTGTTTGGAGCATATTTAAGGTATACTAGGCTAAAAATACCCAAAAAAATTTAGCTGGGTGTGGTGGCAAGCATGTGTAATCCCATCTACTTAGGAGGCTGAGGCAGGAAAATCACTTGTACCCGGGAGGAGAAGGTTGCAGTGAGCCCAGGTCGCACCACTGCACTCGAGCCC